ATTATAAAATAATAAATTATGGGGGAAAAAGGTTTGCATTTGTTGGTTTTATTGAGAATCCATTTTATTTTGCCATGGACCAACTGAGAGTAAAAGTTAAATGTGTGTATTGTATGCACTGACAACTTGCAGAAACCATTTACTGTCCTTGATTGTGAAACCAGAAACCAGGTATGTCTTCCAAAATAGATGCCAATATAATACAATGTAGAAAAGCACTGGACAAGGCTTAAAGTGCTAGAGGACAAAACCTCGATAAGGGGTCAATTACAGAACAGAGACATCAACAGGATTTCTGTCAGGCTGTGATTATGTGCTCCCCACCCATGTCTTAATGTATTGTCCTTACTGAAGAAAACAAAAACACAAAGAAGGATGATGAAAGAAAGGGGAGATAATATAAGTTAATATAATAAATATACATTTTAAAAATTGTGCTAGATTGTATAAAATAATCTCTGTTCTTTGAACTGAACAATTAAGCTGTGTACAATAACAGATGCTTTACTATGTTAATCAGTGATGTACTCTTCATAGATCTGGAAAAAAAGTCATGTATTTACCTATCTGTATCTTTGATATAAATGCCTTAGCTTTGAATGTTGCCATTGTACCAAATATAAATGTGTTCCTTTCCTATGAGATGCATACAGTATCTGCCAGTTACATTATTTGTTCTTTTGAAATGAGCTTTTTGAGGCAGTGGAAATTCTTCTGTGGAAAGTTAAGAGGACACTTGAATAATTAAAAAAGTGGAACTTCTGTATGGGCATGAAGTAAACATGCCAGCTCTTGTATTTTGAAAGAGTTTCTTTACAGTTTGCAAACTACAATGTTTTAAGCAGGCTGTGAATGTGTTCCATCGTGTATATATAAAGAGAAAAAATAAGAGAAATTCGTACAGGTTTGAACTGAAATTACATGAGTGTCAGTAAATGACCAAATCTTCGTTTTTGTGTGAGCTATCCTTTAAAATGTATCATTAACTGCATAGGAGTTTACCGAGACTGTCTGCTCAAACACTTTCTCTCTGAAAAATAACTGCTGAACATCATTACAAACTTTCAGCCAACAGTCTATTAAAACACTGCACTGCCTCTTTCCTTAAATTATTCTGTCAAAACTTTTTAGGACTTGATATTCTGCCATAAATTCAAATGCATTCATATATTTTAAGTGTGGTCAAAAATGGTCAAAGTGTGGCCAAATTCTTTTTTGAAGCCAGAAAATAGAGACATTATAGATTTAGACACAAAGAAGTGATTATTATCATAAGTGGTGCCAAGATTTTAGCTTTCTTCTGCTTATTCACTGGGAAATTATTATCATTATTTTTTTCCCCTTTACAGAGATCACAGCAGTCAAACGATGCCTCTGTCATATCGATTAGTGCAGTCCTGTGCATAATGCCTCATTAGTTTGAGTGGCCTTTGAACTGCTGGGACCAGATGACATTACAGTCCATTGTTGCACGGGTGGCCCGATCATTTTTGGGTACATAAGCCAGGTTACAAATCTTATCAGATTTATCTGGCAGGCGAGATGAGAATTACGGTAAGTATGAAATACTGAGCAATATTCCATCAAGAGTTCCATAATGCGAGCATGTGGGAATGAATATAATGGTGTAGCATGTTTTATTAGATATACTCAAGATTTACAAAGGATTTAATTGTTTTGTCACTGTCTGCTTTTGCTTTTAGGGCTTGGGATGTCAAATATTTAATATGGCAAATGAAATGACTCTTTAGTGTTATATTCGTCAATGCCTATTAAACTTAGATAATAGCTATTGAAGTATGACCACAGAGTTCATTCTTTCTTCCTGTTACGTAACTAACACAATGGAATTATTTCCAATACAAATTCTCAAATTACAAATCACAAAACACTGTTTTAAATGGTGCAGAAATAACGCCTACATACCTCAACAGCATAAGGTACACTGCAATTAAATCAGCAATTTATAGTTCGTAAAATTCTGAGAACTGACATAGCAGAACATTAAAGTGTCTAAGAAGCTCAGAATCAGTGTGACTCAGTCGCCACCTTATGGACTGTTTTATGCAATAGTCTTGGTACAGCTCATCAACTGACTGAAATGAATAGGCACATTTCTTACGTAAAAGCTTTTTATTTCCCTGACAATGGGCTTTGCTACAAATACTTTTGGCATAGAATTCAGCCTCTTTTGCCAGGATGTAGGTGTGACTTATAGACAGTCAGGAATTGACAAGCCTATATTTGTCTTGGATTTTAAACTGTAATTTTAATTAAAACTCTAAATTTTTACTTATATTTATTGTTTCATTAATATTTATAATATATTTGTAATACATATTTATTGCCTTAATTAAGTTATGCTTGCATTCTTCAAACTGTCATCATTATTAATAAATCTAGATACCCATAAAGCAAAATTGTGTATATCAGCTCCCTTCTTACATTTAAAGTTCATTTAAAATCAAGTTGAATAGTTTAAATGCCCCACCTGTCATTTAGCAAACACATCTACAATGATGTACACTTTGTCATCAGAAATGAAGGTAGAACATGAAGACATCACACACACACACACACACCCTTAATCTCTGAAAATGGCTGAGCAATAAAAGATACACCTAACGTGATTCATGTTAAAAGATCTCACATATTTACTGAGTTCACTAGGTCTCTAAGCATTCGTATACAGGCTACTAATTCCAGAAGTAACATATATCAAACATATGTAAACAATGTCTGTCAGAGTGAAAAAAAAGGGAAGTAGGCTACTTTGTATGTGGGGGTGCTGTCTTTTGTTTGACATTTGATTTTCTGATGATTAATTTGCTGGAGATATTTTGATACTTCTGCATTTTAGATATTTGAGACAATGGTTTTATATCTAGTCTTTATACATAGTTTATATTTTATTCCTTCAATGAGTTTTCACATGTAACCATCAATATTTTATAAAAGTGTTTTCGATAATTAGACGCTCGCAAACAGAAATCAGAAGAAGAACATAAGAACATTTTTATTTTCTTTTTTAAAGTTGGTAACCAAAAAGTTGATGGTATACATTGACTTCCATAGTATGGTAAAAATACTATGTAAGTCAATAGCTATACCGTCAACTTATGGTTACCAGCATTCTTCAAAATATCTTCTTTTGTCAAACAAGTTTGGACCAATTTGAGGGTGAGTAAGCCTAAATAATGACAGAAGTTTTATTTTTGGGTAAACTATCCTTTTAAGGATCGGTATCGGGCGGTATATTTGACTAAAAAAAGCATTATCAACCATTTTGTTATGGATTTGCATATATCACCAACGGCCTTTGTTTAATATTGTAAAAGGTAAGGGCGCCAAAAGACACATTTTGTACTAGATGAACAACACTGCGCCTCGAATTCACTGAGGAAATTCTTTAAAACGCTGACAACTCGAAGGTCATTGCATACTTCGCACACATCGTATTTTTCGGATTGGTTTCACTAAAAGTAGGTTTTGATGTGATTTATCATTACTAATCATCATGACGAACCGTCATGTTGTTTCCATAACAGGCTAAGTCAGAAACTGCTTAAAAGATGTCATTGTTAGGTTAAGTCATATTCAGTCATTTACACGCCCACCACTTTTGAGTGCACTTGTGAATTTCGTAATGTAATGTGACGTATGTTAGTGTGTCAGTTCAGTATTTAACTTCTGGAAAGCAGAGCAGGAGATTACACACACTCTGCATGATGTGGACTGCGCTTCTCCTGCTGGGACTCGCTGTTCTGTTGCTGTACGCGAGACGCACGAGGTGAGTCCAGACCAGTCCGACCAGCTCCTGAGTCTGACGGACGACACTTAAACTTTACAAATACGCTTAAACGATTACGAATTAATCTTGTCGTTTTTTGCAGACGAAGAAACGAGCCTCCTCTCGATAAAGGAATGATTCCCTGGCTCGGTCACGCGCTTGAGTTTGGCAAAGATGCTGCTAAATTCCTGACACGAATGAAACAGAAGCACGGCGACATTTTTACTGTGAGTTCTTGAGGTCACATTTTGGTTGAGTAAGATAACACTATAATTAAAGCAGCAATCTGTCATAATGTGCAGTTTTTGTTAATGGGTAGTTGAGAAATATAGTTATTTTAAGAGAAATTTCACTTGAATATGTAAATGAAAAGTGCATGTTTTTGTGTTGTGACAGGTTAACAAGGTTTCGAAATGTTAAGGGATTTTGGAGTTTGCTTAAATAGTTAAAAGTACAAATATTTCATATAGTCTCGCAACTTAGGTGAGATTAGAAGAATATATTTAGAATGTATACTGTATGCATGTATATTCTTCTAATTTGACCTAAGTTGAGAGACTATATTAAATATTTGTATTTTTAACTAAACTCCAAAATCCCTTACAACTTTGAAAAACTTGTTTATTTATATATATATATATATATATATATATATATATATATACTATACATATGCATACATCAAATATATTATACATGTGCATATTGTATATTATCGATAGTATAATTTTTGTTATGACTTTTGACTACAGGGATGACTTGTGACTTTCTTCTTGCTGCAATTCGCATTTGTGATTTCCAATATTAGTACTTTGACTTTATTTGTTCATACTTGCAACTAAGATTTACAGCTACAGCTGCTTATAATCGTAATGGTACATTTTACTGATGCAGTGCAATTATTCCCGGGTCCTGAGGAAATGACCTGGGCTGCATTTCTCTAAAGCATAGTGAGCTAAGTTGATTGTAGGGACCATTGGAGGCAGTGGTACCTACCCTTAGTCAGCTGTTTTCTTAATAAAACTTTATCTAGAAATTGCAACTGTATATGAGAGTTTAGATGACAGTCTTGTTCTCTTACATGACATTTCCTGTGCCAGCTTCCTTTCACTTGTTTTTAGCACTAACCACACTCATCTAATGTGAACCAGGTGCGTGCAGCTGGACAATATATCACTGTTCTGCTGGACTCAAATTGCTATGATGCTGTCCTGTCCGATGTGGTCTCGCTTGACCAGACCGGCTATGCTCAGGTCCTAATGAAGAGAATCTTCAGCCTGAATCTGCCCAATCACAACCCTGAATCTGAGAAGAAAAGAGCAGAAATGTAGGTTTCTAATAACGTTAAATCTCTCTGTCAGAACTACTGTCATCTTGAGAATTTGCTTTAAATGTTTTTCAGATGCTGAATAGATCTTAAGATAACATCAAAGCTGAAATATCAATTAATCTGAACCATATATATGTTTTGTGTGTGTTTTGACTAGGCATTTTCAGGGGTCCGCTTTAACCCAACTCTGCAGCTCAATGCAGAACAACCTCCAGCACCTTGTGACCCCTTCAGAAATGGGCCTGAAAGTATCTGAGTGGAAAAAAGACGGACTCTTCCATTTTTGCTACAGCTTGCTTTTTAAGTACGCCAATCTGTAAAATCAACATGCTAGTAACCCTGATTCACTTATGCACTGCTTGAGTATGTAGGTTTAATACTTTATTTGGCATTCATTCTGTACCAATCAACAAGCAGAGACTGTCCCACCCAAATGCTGGCACAACATAATTATCACTCACTATTGTACAGATAAGACCTGTTGTCATGCCTGCACAAGGTGCAGCTTGGTTATCTCATGAATGCCTTAAGGTCATTCAGTAAAACGTGGTATTTTGTGACAGTTGTTAAAATTAAAGGCTTAAATGTTGTACTACAGATTTTAACAGTCTGGAAAAACCTGATTTCGTGGAAAATGATTAAGGCTGACTTAGGGTTTTTTGAATGCTATATATCCTCATACCAATCACTATCTGTCTTTCTTCTTCTCTGCAGGACCGGCTATCTTACTGTGTTCGGCGCAGAGAAAAACAACAGTGCAGCACTTGCAGAAATTTATGAGGAGTTTCGCCGGTTTGACAAGCTTTTGCCTAAACTGGCTCGGACTACTGAAAACAAAGGTAATGTGGTTTAATTTGAAAGAAATTGCTTAGAAAAACAGATGTTCTTTCTTCCATTACTATTGTTTTCTTTTAAAATTACACTTCATTAGACATGATTTATTTAACTAACCTGTGTTTTTTTAATGTATACATTCATTAGAGGAGAAACAAATTGCAAGTTCAGCACGAGAAAAGCTGTGGAAATGGCTGACTCCATCACGTTTAGATAGAAAGCCAGAACGCCAATCATGGTTGGGGAACTATGTACAGCACCTGCAGGATGAAGGAATTGATGCTGAGACTCAGAGGAGAGCCATGCTGCTACAGCTATGGGTCACACAGGTGAGTTTCCCTCTGTCTCTATCACTTAGTCGTCCTTTCACAACACATACTTGCAAAAAAATTGAATGCATTGCGAAAAGAATGTTTCTAAAAGACATTCTGTTGTAATAAACGTGCATCATTCAGAAGTTCAAGCTGGTAAGATGTTTTTAAAAGAAGTCTTTATGCTCACCAAAGCTGCATTAATTTGATCAAAAACATAGAAAAACAGTAATATTGTGAAATATTACAATTTAAAATAATTGTTTTCTTTTTTAAATGTAATTTTCAGCAGCTATTACTCTAGTCTTCAGTGTCATATGATCATTTAGGAATTATTCTAATTATGTTGATTTGGTGCTAAAGAAATATTTCTTATTATTATCAATGTAATGCATCCTTGCAGAACAGAAGTATTAATTGAAAGAAAAATCTCACTGACCTGAACTTTTGAATGGTTATGTACAAATTTTTCCCATTCTTTTTCATAACAGGAAAGTGGATGATCATTAATACTGCCAGGCCCCAAAATAGACAATAAATCCTTATGGCTTAAGAAGACCTATAGATACTTTACAGTGCTTTTTTGTCTATTTTGGAGCTCGGCAGTATAAATAACCATTCATTTTCATTGTATGAAAGATCTCCTTTTGTATTTTACTGTGTAAACTGAAAAATAATATAGGGTTGGAACAATATGAAATATTCGGTAAAGTAGTAGTTCATCATCATGAACATAAACTATTCCTTTAAAAATTCCTTTTGTCTGATAGCATGCTTAATCACTCAAAACTACATAGCGGCGATGACACAGTAATACCCCGAGGTTGCCATAGCGATAGGCTGTTTTGCACACCTGATCTTACTGTAAACAAAAGAGCCTGTCACCTCTGGAATGTGCGAGTGCGTGATTTCACTCGAGTTTCACAGAACATGAACACAGAAGTTGCCCAAAGCACACCTGAGATGCCATAGCCAGAGGCCAAACAACACCTACTGAATGATTCCTTTGTAACTGAAGGGAATTAGGTAACGCAGGTGTTGATGCGTCCCTAGTATGTACAATGCATTTGACAGAATTATTACATGCATATTCAAGCTTGTTAACACAATCACATATAAATTATCTAAATAAACGCCATTAGGCACAATTAAAGGATTAGTTCACCCAACAGTGACAATTATGTCATCATATACTCACCCTCATGTTGTTCCAAGCATGTATAACTTTCTATGGAACACAAAATGCATATGTTTATGCGTATGAGGCAGAATGTTCACATTGTTCTTTCTCTACACTGAAAACATGCAGTTTGCTCTATGAAACCCCAATAAAAGTAGTTTATATGACTACAAAGAAAAGTCAAAGGGGTTTGGAATGACAAGGTAAATGAAGAAATTAATTTTGTAATACAATATACAATTGGTTGAACTGAAACCATTCCTTTTTTTTTTTTTGAGTATAGATTTACATTTCCTAAGGCATCATGCAGCAGTTCTCTGCTTTAACCACACGAGAGCAGTATAACCACAGAGAAACAGCTTCACTGCATAATTAGTGATTCTTGCTAATATGATTGCTAATATTGCTCATATTTAAGGTTAGGGATTTGAACAAACCACTAACCATACGTATTAAGCTTTGGCACAGAATAAATTTACAAGAAATCAGGCTTAACATTTTTATCATATATTAAGAATATTATAAAGACTTGAGCCAGTAAGAAGTCACCCAGAGCACCCTACTAAAACCACTCATATTTTCACATTTCACATATTTTAAATATTTCATAATATTACTGTATTTTTTATCAAATAAATGTAGCTTTGGTGAGCATAAGAAACTTTTTTCAAGAACATTAAAAACCTCTTACTGACCCCAATCATTTTAACAGTAGTGTAGTTTTTTCATGCATCTTAGTGTGTGATGGAGCTATGTATAATGTCCAATCCTAAGCTAAAACAAATAAACCCATAGGCTTTATCATGCATAATGTATTGTCATAGCTTGCTACAGCATCTGATACTCTTATAAAACCAACATGTGATGCAATTTCAAAGATATGAGCACATGGGAATTCCCTCTAACAGAAAGTGATTCTTTAGCTTTGTCATGGTATCAGCAGGTTTATTGACAGACAGATTCACCTCTGAGAGTCTGTCTGAGAGTCTTCACCCCTCATTGGCCTTGCCTGTCAGTAAGGAGTCCCCCTGAACCCACAGCAATTGTTGTATGACAGGTTTAACTGCACTGCTTCGCGTGCACTGACAGTAATGTTGATATAAAACCGCTTAAGGAGAAGCAATACGCTGTAGGTTAGAGCCTGCTGTATATTTATATGAAATGTCATAAATCTTCTAACACATCAATGGGTGTCAGGTCACTCACACTTGTTTTGCAGGCAATTAAAAAGGTTCTTTCTAGATTTATTTTATTTATTTATTTATTTAGTCATTTATTAGACGCTTTTATCCAAAGCGACTTACAAATGAGGACAACAGAAGCAATCAATTGTAGTATTAAAACAACTAAAAACAGATCCAAAACTAAAAGCTAAAACTTTATAAATACTACCTATACACATTTTAAAAATAAAGAGATTAAATAAAAATTACAAATGCATACAACAACATTTCAAAACTTAACATTTAAATGAAAAACAACAAATAAAGCTAAAAACAATTCAAAATATTAAAGAACAAAAGGTATAATTTTTATACCCGTCTAACAAAATACTAAATTAATTCAGCTGGACACACTTTCCTTATTTTCTCCACAACAAATGGCCAAGCAAGCGCAGACACTAACAAGATACGCGATACAGAACGGGACCAAACGCGATATCAGCACGTCTCCACACAGTAAACAGATAAAGAGTAAAGATTTAAAGAGTATAAGTGTCAGCCTTTTTAGTGGTTTGTTTGATGGTAATTTAAGGAATATTTCTTTCCTCAGGGAAACTCAGGCCCCACTGCATTCTGGGTACTGGGCTACTTACTCACCCACCCTGAAGCTCTAAGGGCTGTGACAGAGGAAATCCAAGGTGGGAAGCACCTCCGTCCAGAAGAGAAACAGAAAAACACTCCAGTGTTTGGTAGGTCACATAAGAGAAGTGATTTGTCATTATGTAATATATATTAAAAAGTCTTATGTATATGCACATATTTGTGCAATAATTTTTTCCAACATTAATTCCTGAATATATTTATATATATGTCTGTGTGTGTGTGTGTGTGTGTGTATATATATATATATATATATATGTGATGAGAGGGGCGGAGGTGCATTAGCATTTACTCCACCGGCCTCGCTCCGTTCCCACGGCTCTCGGCCCCGCCCCTCTCGTCACAATGTATATATATATATACACGTATATATACATACACCCATATATATTTTAAAATGGCAATTACAAAACCAATTCCAACAAATTTCACTGAAATTAAAACAAAATTTCTGAAATCTGTTTTTACAGATAGCGTTCTTAGTGAGACGCTGCGTCTAACTGCAGCTGCTCTCATCACTAGAGAAGTGAAGCAAGATAAGAAGATTTGTTTAAGCAATGGGCAAGAATACCAGCTCCGACGGGGCGATCGGCTGTGCGTTTTCCCCTTCATCAGCCCTCAGATGGACCCACAGATCCACCAACAGCCAGAGGTGCACTTTCAGATTCCACTTCCATCCTAAACTCAACCAAGCGGAGAGATGAGATTCACTTGGGAGAGAAATAATTTCATTACTTGAAGAATCTGGGCAGATTTTAGATAAATTTGAAATATGTATTGATTTTCACTTTGTCAAAAATAGGTGCAATTGAAAAAATTTAAGGGTAAACCCAAAAATATTCTGTAGACTTACATTAAAGGTACCAAGCAACATCTAGAATATAATAAAGACTTGGAGGTTAGGTCTTGCCAAGAACACCCTAGCAACCACATAGCAACTCTCTGGCATCGTGACTTTTCCATGGGCAAGAAAATGGGGATTTTTTTATATATATATAAAATGATAGACAATATATTTAAATTAAATTAAATGTAACACCTTAGCAATCAGAGAATAAAAAAAAAAAAAAATTAATTATAAAAAATATAATGAACTTTTTACACTTTAGCAACTATGTAGTTTTCAGTTTTTGCAATATAATTTTTACATTTTTTTAAATTAAAATTATACATATATAAATTTTAACATGAGAAGTTGAAAGAAAAATACTTCAAATTTAAACTAAAATAATTACAAAATATAAAAAAAATCACAAGCAAACCAAAAATAAAACAAAGGATTAGTGTTGCTATGCAATGCTAAATTTATTTTCTTTTTTTTTGCAGATAATGCGTTGCTTAGCACATTGCTCTATTAACACACATCACTTATAGATGGCCTAAACCTTTTTAGCTTGAACTTTATTGACGTCCACCATTATGATCAAGCTTGGATTACATTCTGCACAAGTCCAACGGCTAATCTAGTGAGATATCTGGGATTAGCTATTCAAGTGCTATCATTGGCAAAAAGACAAATAGGGGGAAGGGGGTCACAGTTTATAGGCACTGCTGCTGCTCATACTATCTGTGAGAAACAGATGATCGCACTATACACAGTGCTTTGTAGGCCAAAATGCTGACGTTGCATACCGTAGTGTTGTGTATTGGCACTGTGAACTAAAGATCTGATCCAAGCTTCCATGTCAAGCCCACTGATTAATAGTAAATTGATTAACAGCACAGCAAGATGTTGTTCTTGCAAGCAAACATTGGACGCGTCTCACAAACATATCACAAGAGTGCAGTTTCTTGCTTTACTCTATTTCATCAAGACAATTTGATGTTACAAATATTAATATAATACCCGAAGACACAATAATAAAAATGCTAATTCTGCTTGTTTTCTCCTCATGTTACAGATGTTCCAGTTTGACCGCTTCCTTAATGCAGATGGGACAGAGAAGAAGGACTTCTTTAAGGAAGGGTTGAGGGTGAAGTATCCCTCTGTGCCCTGGGGGACCAAAGACAACCTGTGTCCAGGACGCCAATTTGCAATTAGTGCGATTAAAGAGTGAGTATAATTGCATTAACCATATAAGGTGCAGTCACATTTACCATTGCAAAATCCAATCAATTCAGTTATTGGAAGTTTCATGTGAAAGTGATAAAAGTTTTCCACACAGATTCAGCTCAGGTTCAAGTTGTTCATTCAGATTCGCTGCTTCTTAGTTTAAAAGTGTCTTGTGTGTGAGCAGTGCTTCATACATTTCTGTCCCATTGACTGTAGAACTTAATCAAGGTTAGATGCCATATTGACTGTAACAAGGATGAAAACGAGGGATAAACTTGCAGTCTTTACAATGGCATGCACTGTATAAAAGTCCTAGATCATTTTCAAAACTGTTGTATGGAGTTTTTGTCTACTGAAAGTTTTTTCCAAAAAGATGTTTCGTCAGCTGAACAATTGGCATGTTGTTAAACAAAAGTACAGTCCATCGAACGCACTGTTCTTCCCTCACAGCCTCATTTTCATTCCTGTCTAAAGAATCAAAGAATCTTTTTGTCTGTGAAATTATTGCCAAAATTTCACTAATGTGACCGCACCTTTAGTCCTTGTGCTATGCTTTAAATTGATTTGATTCAACAAATGTTATGCTTGTGTCTCTTAGCAACTATAATGACGTTTGGAATTATTCTTTTTCCAATCCCTTTAGGCTTGTGTTCACGATCTTGACTCGATTTGATCTAGAACTGTGTGACAAGAATGCAAAGCTGCCATTGGTAGACCCCACCCGATATGGCTTTGGCATTCTCCAACCAGCTGGCGATCTAGAGATACGCTACAGAATAAGATCTTAATACGCCAAATCGAATTAAAACTGTACAGATAGCAATAGCCTTTTTTTTCTTACCAGTGTCTGAATACTTATTGCAATAATAAATATAGTATTTTTTTTTAACTCTGATGTCATTTGGTTTTATCATCCTTACTTTTCTGCATCCAAGGCCTCAAAATATGTCCTAATTCTAATGCAATTCAACATGTTTTAAATCCCATGAAAAATGCACGATCAAACACACTTGGTTTATTGTCATTTTTCTTCAGTATTTTTGTTGGTCAGGGCCAAAATGATGTGAAACAAAAGTAAAAGTGCTGATAACACATTTTGGAAACATGCATGCCTGCTTTGTTATACAACAAAGTTAAAGCTTCGATCTGTCTGTAGTGTTTTGACTAGGTCAAAGTCACATAGGTTACCCCAGGGTAAAAAAAAGTGAAAAGTGACGCGACGTGTGGCCAAGTATGGTGACCCATACTCGGAATTAGTGCTCTGCATCTATCCCACTACAATCCCTGCCGGTACGAGACTCGAACCCGCAACTTTTGGGTCCGACTCTCTAACCATTAGGCCACGACTTCCCCACAAGGCACTTTTGATTTTTTTTTTCTCCAAAACACTAAAATGCAACAAGCACCACAACATCACTTTCCTAAACACCTGTTTCCTGAGAAATTGAGAAGTCGATCCATTATCTGCAATAAAAAATATCTAATTTGATATAATTCTAAAATAACATATAAACATATATAAAATATATATATATATATATACACACATAATTTATTCTAAAATGTATTATATATAATTTATATTTTATTTCATTTTTTAATGAATACATTTTTTTTTTTATTATTATAATTGTTTTGTTTTTTTCAGATTTAAGATTTATACGGAGAATCCCTAGAAGGGGTTACATTTATTCTGAGACACACACACACACGTCTGGTTTGCTATCCTTGTGGGGACTCTCCATAGGCGTAATGGTTTTTCTACTGTACAGACCGTATATTCTATTGCCCTACACCTAAACCTACCCCTTACAGGAAACTTAATGCATTTTTAGATTTTCAAAAAACTTAATTCTGTGTGATTTATTAGCTTGTTTACCCGTGGGGACCTCAATTTAGGTCCCCACCGTGACATGAGTCCCCATGAGTCTGTGTGTATTCAGGTTTAAGTCCCCACCAGAATAGAAAAACAGGTACACACACACACACACACACACACAAAAGGCATGTGTGTGTTGTGTAAATGCATGTGGTAACAAATTATGCCTGGTCACTATTGCAGCTGTTTCTACACCACATGACTATAATTTAAAAGACAGAAAAGTCCGTCTCAACAGATCAGAAAGGTTTAAGTTTACCCTTAAAATAATTAGGATAGACAATCTACTCTATTTGCTGAAATTCAATATAAGGGCTCTGAAATGTGATGACTGGAGAGTGGAGACCAACTTGTGAGCACCTCAGTACAGCTGCTGTGCTTCACCATGGTAAAATATTAAATGAAGCTCATATATTCAAGGAGCTGCAGCTATGGCTGAACTGATTCAGGGGTTGCTTTGAGCACTGCTCCAAAAAGCGGATGCGTTTCCTAACGCATATGAAATAAGGAGCTATTTTCCGTGTTGCCCGCTCTTCAGGCGCCATTTTTACACAGGTTACTCGTACCGACACAGAAGGAGCTGCTCCAAGAGCCTCTTGGTGCTGGGTGGCAAGGGTTAAACGCGCCGTCTCTCTGCCATTGGGCGGTGAGACTACGGAGAGCCAGCCATCTGCAAGGAAAGCAGCTGTCGCCTTCACGCAAGAGACGTTAGACATCAGTGAACGAAAACAGTGTGGATTCACCCCAAGACTTGTTGATCTTTTTCCATAAACAAAAAGCGGGGCGCTATGTGTATGTCTGGAGAAGAAGAACGAGCTGCTGTCTACTGGCTTTATTTAAACGGTGACGTTCCTGCGTTTTCCCTTATTTAAATGCTTAATTTCACACTGCTGTCAGCAATGAGTCTTCACAAGTTAAGGTGGGCGTTTTTTGTAGATTCATTAGTCTAACTAGTTCTTTCAAAATATTTTACCGTATGCTTAGGTATTATTGATCGTATTGGAAATGTATGGCATGGTGTGCAGATAAGCTATAAGCTTTTTCTAAATAATATTTAATAACATTTACACATGCCATACAAATAACTACAGTTGCCTTGAGGTTGTAATGTTTTGTGGCGTTAATACGTCTGAAGATGCATTTTTTTTTCCATGCAGGATCAATACTGGTGGATGCCACTCCTACAGTGTTTAAATTATATTTAATGTCTTTATAATAGCACTTTCATGTTTTGAATATGTCCTGTATTCTATTCTCCGCTTTGCGTATTTGTCGTCACTTTTTCCTTCAAGTGTACAAGATGATCAATGAAATCACATCATAAGCGCAGCTGCATTGATGTCAGCGATGACCGCCTGATGCAATGAATAACAGTTTATCCAAGAAAAGACGTGCGATGCTCATAAAAATCCATTTTAATTAGCTTCGCAGTGGCTAAACCAAAATGTCTATCATGTCATGTTTTCCTCCTGTTTTTGCATGTTGTTGTTGATGATTTTTAAGTCCAACCGTTGCAGTCTATCAGTCTTATAATTCATGGCAATGGTAACAAAATCTATGAGAGTAAAAAAGACATGCACAGACAAATCCAAATTAAACCCTGCGGCTCGTGACGACACATTGATGTCCTAAGACACGAAACGATCGGTTTGTGCCAGAAACCGAACAGTATTTATATCATATTTTACCTATGATTCACCGCAATGTCCAACTTCCTTGAGCGTGCGTGAGGTGTGTACGCGCTCTGGCGTAGTTTACGTTAATGGGTGTGTTGATATCCAGCCGAAGAGCAATCAACCATAACTTCAGGAGAGCAGGCTCAGAAGTTGGGAATACGTGGAAAGTCACCACTCCCGAATAAGTTCGCGCGAGAGAACGTAATCTTTTAGTTTTAAGTCGGTTTGAACAATCCGGATAAGCGCAAGTACCATTTTGATTAGCCGTCGTACCTACAATGACTGTGCACTGTGTAAACAATGAGTGACGTATACGCGCGAGAGATCACTTCCAGCGCTTGCATAAACTACGCCAGAGCGCGTACACACACCGGATGCCGTGCGCGCGCTCAAAGCAGTTGGACATAGTGGTGTATTAGAGGTAAAATATGATATAAATACTGTTCGGTTTCTCGCACAAACCGATCGTTTCGTGTCTTAGGACATCAATGTGTCGTCACGAGCCGCAGGGTTTAATTTGGATTTGTCTGTGCATGTCTTTTTTACTCTCATAGATTTTGTTACCATTGCCATGAATTATAAGACTGATAGACTGCAACGGTTGGACTTAAAAATCATCATTTGTTCTACTGAAGAAACAAAGTCACCTACATCTTGGATGCCCTGGGGGTAAGCAGATAAACATCAAATTTTCATTTTTGGATGAACTATCCCTTTAACAAACATCATAAAACATGCAGCTCATTTCTTGTTTCTCCTTTCCTCTTCAGCAGCTCAAATAAAATGAAACAGCTCGGAGAACCACTGGTAACACCGCCAAATTCATAGGGTAGTCTGCACAAAAAAACAAAATGGATAAACCCTCCGCAGGAATGAGTAAAGTTGGCTCTCGCTCGACAGCCTCTCTGCCCCCGGAGCCTGTGGATATAATCCGGAGTATGTCGTGCTACCGGCGTGTCAAACTGAACGTAGGGGGTCTGCCGCACGAGGTCCTGTGGAGAACCCTGGACCGACTGCCGCGCACGCGACTGGGCAAGTTACGAGACTGCAAAACCCACGAATCACTCGTGGACATATGCGACGACTACAACCTAGAGGACAACGAGTACTTTTTTGACCGGCACCCCGGGGCGTTCACGTCTATTCTGAACTTCTACCGCACTGGGAAATTGCACATGATGGAGGAAATGTGCGCCCTGTCCTTCAGCCAGGAGCTGGACTACTGGGGGGTGGATGAGATCTACCTGGAGTCGTGTTGCCAGGCGCGGTACCATCAAAAGAAAGAGCAGATGAACGAGGAGCTCAAACGGGAAGCTGATACTCTGAAGGTCCGGGAGGGCGAAGAATTCGATAATACGTGTTGTTCAGAGAAAAGGAAGAAACTGTGGGACCTACTAGAGAAACCAGGCTCGTCTGTAGCAGCCAAGGTATACATCACTACATACACTGACAGCATCTTATCGGACTGATAAATAGGCCGAGATTTAGACATAAACACAAGTTTACAGAAGACCAACTTCCACGATATTATGTATTAGTTCAGAGAGAAAAGGAGACTCCTTCTTAATTTATTATAAATTGCACAGCCCTGCATCTTGAAAAAAAGTCTGCTGATTTGCAAAAAAGGACTAATATCACTTAATTTGATGATGCTGAGTTAAAATTTCATAAAACCGTATATTTTTCACAAAATAAGAATGATATATCAGCTTTAATGCACTTAGCAAAATAAATACAGTCCAATGTCAAAAGTTTTTTTTAAATTACAAAAGGTATCATTTAAATTACAATCTGCAAACGAATGAAAAAAAAAGTTAAAATACTTCTTTAAATGTCAAAGTATTTTCCAGAAACTCAAGTTCACTCACTATTTAGAAGTAGTAAAACACCCACAGATGTAACCAAAAACATCTGGGTAACAGTCATTAGCCATAATTCTAACATTAAAATCAAGATTAGGCATAAATGTTTTCAGAATCATTCATGTCAAAATCGGCTGAGAATGGAACAAATAGATGTAGCTAACCTGGCTCTGAGAAACAGGAATCATGCCTTTGTGGCAGTAGTTCTGCTGATTAAGAGATAATACGACTTCTTCATCTTACAAAAGGTTGTTGAAAGCAAAAATGCTACGAAATGCACATATTTTGTAAGAAAGTGTGACGTGCTAAAACAAAAAGGCACTATTTTTCAAATCAGCACCCCAAAATGAGTAATGAAAGTATTGGATTTAATACACTGAATATGATGCAGAGCAGTGTAATCACACATGTATCATAAACAATAGCCATCCAGCATTCAACATTGTGTGTCAAACATCTTCATCAGCCAAGA